ATGGTAACTTTTACAATTAATATCAATAGATACAATAACTCTATGTGATTCTCTTGTTTAATAATAATTTTTTTTTGTTTAGTGTTACACTTTAAAGCTTCCCCATTTAATGCATGTTTGTCCATGCTTAATGCCAACACTATAATAGCTCTCTATGACTCTTAAACTAAGCAAGAATTATCTCTTGCTTAGAGTCAAACTCTTTATGGTTCTTTATAACTTTCACTCTTAGCCAAAACTCACTTTTACTTAACATGAAATTTATAGAGGTTTTTGTAACTTTTTCACTTAGCAAAAATTGTACGAGCTTAATATCAACAATACAAAATTTTTACAAATTAATGAGGTTTTCTTTCTATTGGGTTTTCCACAAAACTAATCTTCTTATAATTATCATATGGTCTCCTTTAAAATATTTTACTAGACAAATTTAAATAATTTATGGTTCATCATTTATATACAACAATACCAAACTTAAAGGAACATATAATCACACCATTAAATCACATTCAGGATTCAAGAATGATCAATACATATCAAAAATCTCAAGAATAACACAAGATACACTATAGTTGAAAAATTGTACCAAAACACAATATTAAAGACTTGGGGACACCACATTCCCTTACACACAGACAATTACAAACAAATGAAGTTTAGGATAAACCTCTCTACGTGCAATTCAAGTCACACCCATAAGCAAGATAATATTACTCTCCTTTGTGACAGTAATGCAATTGCTCTAGGTTGCTATGTTGTTAATCTTTGTTTGACCGCTGCACTTCATGCGAAACTTGTAGGTGTCATGAATTCTATTGAAATTGCCAACCAGAAGATTTGCAGGAATGTGATTCTAAGACAACGCTTTTACCTTCCAATAACTTTTATGTGGTGCCTTTTAAGCTTCAAAATCGTTTAAAAAAATTTGTATTTTTCAAACACATCACATATGAACTTAAGAGTTTCTCATATTTAGCGATTAGAGAATATTTGTGCTGATAGGCTTGCTGCCTTTGAGACACATCATGTTGGGTTCAAATGATGGGACACCATCCCGAATTTTGTTATAAAGGAATTTGGGTGTAATAGACTAAGACTCCCTCATTATATTTATAGATTTAGTTAACTTCTGTGTTGTTACACGAGTTTTGGTTGAGTTAACAAGGAATTTACAAGTCTTATACATTTTTCTTTAGTTTATTTAAATGAAATTTTTAACTCATTAGAACAAATTTTATATCAAATTTATAATATTAATTTTCATTCATATGATAAATATTTAATGAATACTTGATTAAATTATTTATCTAAATCAACTTCAAATTTGATTACTGCAATTTTTCATTACGGGTTTAAACTAAAAGAGAAAACACCTCTATACGTTTTTTTTTACACGAAAACAATCAATTGCCGCTATACACTAGTATTTGGGTAATTATAGAATTTGGTTAGGGGTGGGCAAAACGAACTGAACTGAACTGAACTTATAAAAACTATACTGAACTTAAAAGTAGTTCATATGAACTGAACTAAACTAACTATTAGTTAGACGAACTGAACTGAACTATTCTTTTGTGTCATTGAACTGAACTGAACTATACTATAAAAACTTGAACTGAACTGCAATTTAAACTGCACTAAACTGTTATGATATTTTGAATTGAACAATTTTGACTCATTGATCTATCAAAATAGGACACATTTGTCAACTTTACTTTATTTTCCATTTTATTTAAATTTTTCAAAGGAAAAAAATATAAAATTAAGTCAAACAAACTCAGTGAATTTTAAGCCTAAAAATAAGTAGTTCAACATAGCTCAATTGATCCGTTAAGTTCAACAAAATTGATACAATTTTTTTTCAAATCACTTTTTTTCTAAAATTTTGGTTATTAGACTATCGAGCTAATCTATTAAGACATAACATGTTAAACACATTTAATTTTTATTCTTTTATAAAAATAGTTCAATTTTTATAATTCAGTTCAGTTTTTATAGTTCAGTACAGTTCAACTTTTCAATAGTTCAGTTCAGTTCAGTTTTTTTTAAACAATTCAGTTCAGTTTTTTTTACAAACAGTTCAGTTTTTTATAGTACAGTTCACCACCAGTTCAGTTCAGTTTAGTTTTTTTTGCCCACCCCTAAATTTGGTTAACCATGTCATCGGTGTATAATATCTTATCTCAGTAAAATTAAAAAAAAATTAAAAAATTAAAATAAAAATCATTATTTTTATTGATTTTTTTATATCTATATTGAATAAAAAGCATTGCATTTTGATTAAAAACTAATTTGGTCTCTTATAATATTTTTTTTCTTCAATTTAGTCTCACTTTAATTTTTGGTTTCAATTTGGTCCCCAATAATTTAAATGCAATTTGGGACTCCCGTCTAAATGATTTAGACGGTGTTAACTGTTGGCCACGTGGATGCACACGTGGATGCCAAATTTTTTAACTGGAGCCAAAACGGCTCGTTCTGGTTGCACACTTCATGTGTTAATTTTGCACCTGGAACGGGCCGTTCCAGATGCAAAATTAACACATCAAGAGTGCAACCAGAACGGGCCATTTTGATTTCAGAACGGGTCGTTCGGGTTCCAAAATGCCAAACCCAAACTGGATGATTATAGTCGGTGACAGATCCAGAAATTTTAGATCGTGGAGGCAATACTTATTTATATATTTGTAATATTAAAAATTGTACATATAAATTTTAAAAGTATAAATATTATAGTTATTTTTTACAAGTTTTTATATCTACAATTACGATTAAGGATGAAAATAAATTAGGTCAAATTATGTTATATTATAATTTAACAGAATTAAACCTAATTTTTATTAAAAATAAATGTTATTAATATGATATATTTATCTGTCATAGACATTTTTAAAATGTTTAGTTAGAACTACAATCTTAAAAACCTACTTAATAATAATTTAACACTAATAAAAACATAAAAATAAATATGTTAAATCTTATAAAAATCAAATTTAATTTATTTATCATATAAAGATGTTTTTGATATGTGATATAAATTTGTACAATTTTGATTTTTTTAATCAACATATACAATAAATAGAAAGCACAAAAGTTTGACAAATATGAGATAAATGAATAATTCTTTGAAATTTATATTTTATACATATGATAATTTAAATATAGATATATATATATATATTTATTAGAATATAATTTTTATTTTTAAAAGTATATTATTTTTTAGATAAAAAAAATTATGTATGTGTAAATGGTTTGTCTTTGATCTTTGAATCGCATTGTGTGTTGGTTGGCGTTCTAGAACGGCCCGTTCTGAATTCGAAACGGTCCATTTTGGAAACCATAACGGCCCATTCTGATGCACTCGTTGGTGTTAAATAATGCATCTGGAATGTCCGTTCCGGATGCAAAATTTACGCAACATGAATACAACTAGAACGGCCCGTTCCGGTTTCAGATGCAATGTAAAATTAAGCATCCACGTATGGATCCACGTCCGCATCCAAGTGGCGTCCACGTCACCAGGAATTAACCTCGTTTAAATCATTTGGACGGAAGTCCCAAATTACAATAATTTAAATTATTGGAGACCAAATTGAAATCAAAAATTAAAATGAGACTAAATTAAAACAAAAAAATATTATAATGGATCAAATTAGGTTTTTAACCTTGAATTTTTATTATGTAATTAAAGTAAAGAAATGATGATTCTATATATAATATAATAGAGGTTAATATATTATTTTATTTTTAAATTGAACAAGTCATTAATTATTTTTGCATAGTCTATTGTATTAATTTTGTAATCAAGTAATTTTTATTTTAATAATTATTACCCTAATTTATCAATTTATCTATGAAAAAGTAAGTATTTTATGGGTTATCTATAAGGATGTAATAAGAGGGAAGGTGGATATGGGTAATAAATAGCCTTCCATTACTTGTGCTGACGGATAAATATATTTCTCATATATATTTTTATAATTGTGTAGGTATCACGATGTAGATATTCACCTTTTTTTTAATATATGTGTTATTTTTAAAATATAATTTCAAAAAAAAATTAATAATAATTTATATTTATTCTAATAATTTCTTTAAAAATAATAGTTTAAAAATCAAAACTTAAATTATTCAAATATTATACATAATTTATTAATCAAGATTCTTTAATTTAAAAATTAATATTAATTATTAAAGCATTTTATTCTCATTAATTTTTTAAAAATTAATATATAATTATATAATTGAATATTAATAAATATACATGAATATGATTAGTATGATACTCACTTTATTAACATGTGAATATAAAAAGCATTTATACTCATTACTTATATATACTCATTTACAATATCTATTTTTTACTCATAAATTTTAATCCATCTCTAATTATCTAAGTGATTCATCTTATTCTCATGCCTTGTCACATTTATGAACTAATTTATTAACTACTATCACATGCAATTAAATCAATTAATTTATAATTTTCAACTCCTGATTTATAACTTACTTTAATTTTTATTTTTTTGTCAATCACACACCCCATGTATCTTTCATCTTTACACTTTAATTTTGTCAATAACACACCCTACGCATGTTTCAAACGTTAGCTAAGAAAACAAGAGAGAAAGTAAAAGGAGACACTATTGAAAACAACAGTAAAAGAAGTATCAATAACAAAAAATGCCAAAACAATACATTTCATCCATCACATACTAATTTAGTTGTTACCTTAGTGGAGTCTTTGCACGTAACGTTGATATTTCCAACCTATTAAATTAACTATCACCTTTTCGTAGATACCGTCTGCATATACACATTCCTATCTATGTAGTAAATGAAATGCTACAAAGAAAACTTTTGCTGTTCATACATTTGTCTTTTGCTTTAGACATAGATAGTGATTTTTGTTAAAAGGTTTCAATCAAAAAATAATTTAGGCGTGTTGGTTGTTAACAGAGAAGTAATCATAATTCATTCGGACCCGAAATTTGGTATCCGATTTCTTACTCAATTCAATTTTTTTTTTCCTTTTTCATTTATATTGGTGAAGCAAAATTGGAAGGAAATATTTCCAGGAAAATGTGTACAGGAAACAACTCTACTACACTCCTATAGAGCCTATATTAACCAACACTGGAGTTAATTTTTTTTTAAAAGAAAAAAGTTATATGAGAATTACATTTTTTGAAATTGAAGAAAATTATTTGGCAATGATTTATCTTCATACCACAGTAGCTATGCCACTGTATCTTGGTCTTGTTCTGTCAGTCTCAGGTGAAAGACCCTGTTCTATGGTCTTCCTCTTGTTATTGGCTTGTTGTAGTGATTGTTGCGGCTGTTCTAAATGTGACTCTGACTCTGGCTGAGGATCTTGGGGTTTTGGTGCTTCTTGCAGGTCATTTTGGATTTGTTGTTGTGGTTGAAGCTGTTGAACTTCTGAGTTATCAAGTTTATCTTCTGTTCCTTGCTTTTGATCTTTCAACTTGGTTTTCTTCATATGGGGTTTAAGCTTGTTCAAATCTGACAGCCTCACAGGCTTCAAGAAAAACTCTTCTGCCCCTTCCTCTAAGCATCTGTTGCCAGTTTCACATATTTATCAGAATTTCACTTCAGAAAAGTTGACAAAAATGCAAAATTATAATACAGTACTGAAATATTTCTCCTTCTTACCTGTTAATCCTTGAAGGCACATTCTCAGATGACATGATCACCACTGGTATGTTTCTCAAAGATGAAGATTCCTGAAATATCACAACAGAGGGAATCCTGTAAATTTTTGAGCCTGTTGGTTCCAGGTGGAATAAGTGAGCACATAATTTTCATAGATTCTCAAACGATTTATCACTCAAATCAAATCCAGCTACTACTAAAGTAGGGCCTTTTGGAAAAGAAAATCTTTCCATCACATATTGAACCTGATTTGTTTTGGGTGGAAAACTAAAAGTCAGATAGCAAAATTATTCCAGGATATTACTACTCTTGATGTTTTGTGGTGAGTAATGAAACTAGTCCAACTTGACAACTTTAAGCAACATTAAATTAGAATGAATGCAATTGAAAAGAGTCTCTACAAGGGCCTTTGTTTGTGAAAAGCCAAAACAATCTTAGCCACAAAAACTGAGAAGAAAAGTGGAGAATATAATGGTTAAAAGAGAGATGAGACAGGAATAGAAACCAAAGCATACCTTGATTTTCTTAAGCAAGTCATAGCCTGTCATTCCAGGCATACAGTAATCAGTTATAACAAGATTCACCTCCACCTCCTAAAAAGACACAAAAATCCAAACAATTTGAGAATCCCAGAAAAAGAAACTGATCTGTGGCTAAAAATAATAAAAACCCCAACAAATGATCAAATCATAAAACACCTTTATCCAGGAAAAATAAAATAAAAAATACCTGATGATGATTGTTGGGAGAAACAGATGGTGTACTTGGGTTGCTCTCATCATTCTCATTCAACCCCAGAAACTCTAAAGCCTTGCTACCAGAATCAACTGTGGTAACTGCCATTGAGAAAACATGGTTCATTTGTTTATGAGACAAGATAGTAAACAAGAAAGGGAAAATATAAAAGATAAAATTTATGCTTGAGGTTTTGGTGGGTGTGGCCTAAAAGAGAGTACCTTGATAGGAAGAGGTTCTGAGGAGCCTCTCAATGAGCTTCCTATCTATGAGGCTGTCATCAACAGCCAAGACATGAAACGGTGACTCTGCAGCAGCCATCCCCATTTGGGAAAATTGGATTTTGAAGAGGAAGAGAGGAGGGAGAAAGAATGAATTATGGTTTGTCTATGGGAGGGTGATGAGATTGGAAGAAGAAGAAGAATAGGTTTGTATTGAAATAAGACCCACCAAAATCCCCATCCCAGAAAGCAAGATCCGACCAGATTTCATCCAAAATCTTGCAAAATTTCCAAGTTGATCTTGAATTACCGGGGAAGCAATGAGAAATTATAAGATAAAGGGTAGGAAGAAATAATGAATGAATAAAAAAAGAAAATAAATCTTAGTGAATATTTTTTAGGTTGAGAGAAGAGGTGAGGTTTTATTTATTTATATGGGTTGAGAAATAAGAAAGTAGGATGGAGGCAAAAGAGGAAAGGGGAATGTGAGAGAGAGAGTGGGGCCCATAAAAATCCCTTCAAGAGATACAGGTGAGGTCAGCAATGGTGCCTTTATTTTTCCCCTGCCTGTGAAATCATGTGGCGCTTACCATATCTTGGGCAGGTGGGGGAGACTGCTGCCAAAGAGAGGCCAATTTCTTTTGATTCCCTTTTAAGATTTGCTTCCCATGCCCATCCATCCATCATCTATGTCTCATGCCATCTACATCCATCCATCCATCCGGATGCAAACGGAGAAATATGCCTCTTAATTTCCTTGAAGAAACTAATAAAAGAACACTAACACGTGAATGACGATTATTTTTCTAAACTTTCAATAAGTTATAATATTCGCATAGACTTTTCTTACCTAAAAATATTCACATATCATCATCTCTCTCTTCCCTTTTCTTCAACAATTTATTTTTCTGGGCCATTGATTTTTATTTTTTTACGTCGCCAAACAAAAACAAATATCCCACTCCTACCATTTCTTCAAGATGAGTGCTATAGAAACAACGTCCGAAAATTTAAAATATTAATATTTTATAATAATTTTACTATTAAATAATTATTTAATTTAATATTTTATAATTTAAATTAATTTTTTAAAGATTCAAGAATGTATTTTGGAATACGTTTTCCAAGTTTGTAAAATTTTTCTTTCTTCAAACATGGTCATGATTAAAAACTCGCGTTACCCTATCTTTAATATGAGAAATTGGATATATAAGAATATCTTTATTGTTGAAATTCAAGTGTGAAGTGAAATCTCACATTAATTAGAGTTAAGCATGTTGAATAATATATAAGTGAAAAAGACCACCTACCTAATGCGCTCCGGCAGCATTAAAAACTCCCTAACATTTATATTGAATTTTTTACATAACTAGTTCCAATTCAACATTTGTACATAATGTTGTTTTTTTTTTTTTTTCTGCTATGTGATAGATGGTATGGACCGATTGATGTTTAAGGGAGAAAAAACGAGGCACATGCGAGAAAACGATAAAGTGAAAAGGCACTAACTAGTGGGCCAATTCACCTAAATCTTCTAATGTCTTCTCCCTCTTTTCTCCCTTTCATTATGGCCACGCTTCACGACCAAGACCAAGACTATGAAATTAATTTTGTTTTTCTTTTTTTTCACATTCTTTTAACAATTTAAGAGTCAAATGTTCATACCAATTTATAAAGTTTTACATGAAAGCATGATGGAATGTTCATGGTTCATCATTGATCATTCTGGCTCTTAACTTATTGCCCATCTTCCATGCTTGTTATTTTGTCGAAAGATCCAAGAAAGTTAGATGCATATTAAGGATAGAAATGATTTACATACAAGAAAATTATTCTGTCTCAAATCAACTACGTGGAAAACATAAATCTTTATTCACTATATACATCAAGATTGACTTCATCTTTTATTTTCTTGTCAGATCCTATAGCTACCTTCCCTTTCATATAATCTTATTCAAATTTGAACCATTTATCTTGTGATGGAGTTAAAAAAAATTCATATGTAAAACTTAAACCTAAGACTTTATTTAATAAAAATTAGATATATACTGCATAAATAATTCACTTTGATTTATAAATTGTCTTTTGAGTTAACTAAATCTAATCCAATAAGGTAATATGAGTTTTCTTAATTTATAAGGAAATTTCATAATTACATGTACCTTTGCCTTTGAAATTCTTTTTAACTAGATTATATATACGACAAATAACCCTTTGTAAAAATATAAAACTTTTATACTAAATGTATTTTTGGATAAAATTTTAACTTAATAAACATTAATACAAGTAAAAAGATCCAAAAAAAAAAGTGACTTATTATTATTGATAGATATGTCAACTTTTTGTTTCATATGTAAAATATGTTGATATATTTTATACTGCAATTGTGCTTTATCGAATAAATAGAAAGTAAAAGGGTAGAAAAAAAAAAGGATGGATTGAAGAGTATTTCAACCAAAAGCCATGATAAAGCACGTTTTATTTTTTACTTTATCATATTTTTGTTTCGCCAAAAACGTATATATAATTAAAATGATGAATTTTGTTTAAGCCTACTACAGTATTTATACTGATAGTTTAACTCTTATTAAGTATTATATAATTTATATTAATAAAAACTATTTTAATATAAAATTGTAAACATGTATCAAATGTTTGCATTCCTTACGTGAGTGAGACATGTAATATCTTTTATCAATATATAAAAATCGAAAAGATTTACAATTTCACGCAATCAACAATAAACCCTGGCATGTAATATGGTGTGAAATTGTAAAATATACATATTATTTTTAATATGCACTTTCTATAAATCCAATAGCAAGATTAATAAAATCAAATCTCATGATTCGTTTTACAGTAACTTAAGGGTGACATATGTGGTGAAATCATGATAATGACTGCATATCGTCAGATTTAGTCCTGAATTCAAAATTGTATGTGAGAAAAAACTTTTCGTTTCTTTTATTTGATTAGATAGCCAAAACAATATCTTATAGATCTTTCGGTCTTTTTTTTAATAGGTTTTAGTGATTTTTATAAGATTAAAATTTATTATACTTTAAGTATTGAATTTTTTTATAAAAATACTTTTATCAAATGTGGAAGTTTAACAAGTAAATAAAACTTATTTAATTTATATTTTTTAAAACGTAAAATATCTTATTTTCTTTTTTCAAATACAAAAACTTTAAAAACATGTATTAAGTGTATTATTAGCTTAAAAATAAATTTGAAAAAATAGAAATATAAATATATATTTATTAATCTTAATAAAAAAATTAACTCTTCTTAATTTTGATAAATTAATTATTTAGATCTTAGAATAAAGATGGAAAATGGAAGATAGTAACAAATACTAATTTGAAATGAAATTCAATTTATAATTGTTTTGTAATTAAATTAAATTAAATTGAATAGGTCTTCCATGTTTTTAATCGTCTTATTTAATGTGTATTTTAGATTTTTAAATTTAATTATGAATCTAATTTCAAAAAGTAAATCGTTTATATTATATCTAATTATTAGCTTAGCTTTAGAAAAATCGTATCATAGTAAATAATGCTATATATTTTATTACTTCTCGTCATCTTTATTACTTCCATATTTCATAAACCATTATCAAAATTCATTTTTTAACTATATTATTTTGATGATAATATTATTCAAAACATGATAAAATAATAAATATGATACTTTTTTAGTGGGATTTGAATCTTGATCATAATTAAGTTATGTAGTTTCATTTTGTATATCAAATCATATTATTAAATGTATTACGGATAGCAAGTAAATATGTATCTATGAACAATGTCTAAACTCACATCGATTTCAATAGAAAATATTTAGTTTAATAAAATACATGTATGAGTAATATCCGACTCATTAAATCGGATACGGGAGTGAGAATTTGTATATACATATCCGTCTCGTATCCATACTACTTAAAATTTATAAATATTTAATTTATTTTTTTTAGATTTTACTTAAAATTTATGTAATTTTTTACTCTATTTTTTATTTATGTTAAATAAAGTTTAATTGATATAATTTTGTAATTATTATTTTATGTTGAAATTCTTATTTTTTATATATTTATATAAAAATAATATTTAATTAATTTTTGGACGGATACAAGGTAGGTACGAATATACCCAATATCTAATATCCGACGAAAAAGAGAATGAGAACACAAATTTCATACCCTCTAGATATGAAAACAAAGATAAATATAATGTATAAAGATAAATATATTTACGTATTTGTTCCGTTGTATTGTAATCCCTAAAAGAAATTTGTAATAACTTAAAAAATAATGTGAATTAATAATAATTAAATGTCAAACTAAATACGGCAAGTTACCTATTAGTTATTGGTCTAATTAATACTAAATTAATTTCCTCTTTAAATTTGAATTTTATAAATAAAAAAATATAATTAAAAAAAGACTAAAATAGTCAATTGTATATTCTAATGAAGTATATGAATTTTGATTATTAAAAATGAATATTGAATAGTAGATGGCGAAGACCAAAGGTCAACGTTTATAAAAATGTATAATTATGATGTTAACCCTAGCCATACGCAAGCTTAGATCAGCACCCCTATTGAGAAAAAGAAGAGGGGGGGGCGGGGGGGTCCTCCTTTCCGTTCAAGGTAGAGCCATATAAACATCTTCACATGCACTATTCCATAGGGGACCAAAACTTTGAAGTTTTGCTCAGCGTTTGCTGCCATGGATCATGGATGTTTAAAAAGTATCAACACACATTCATTAAAGTCATCGAAACCACTCCATCACGATTTTATAAACAGTGTGTTTTGGTTACTTAATTAATGAAAAGATTTAGGGCAGGAGAGCGAATCCTATATCATTATTGGTCTTGAAAGCAATAGTACCATTGGATTTCAAATCCCATGCCTTCACCACCAAATTCATTAAGTTCCTCATTTTTCTTAGGCCAACCTATTAAATGTCTTGATGTGAGTTGGATCTTGTATTTATCATGATAAAAAAAAAAATTAAAATCGGAGTTTTCCTCTTTTTTTTTTAATAATGAAGTATATTTTTTTATTATCTAAATTTTTATAAAAATAATATAATTTTTTTAATCGTTATTATATATATATATATATATATATATA